TCTTTCCCTTCTGCGATCAGCTTGTCCAGCAGGCCGGAGTTGTAGAAGCTGGCGTAGATGTCTCCGTGCCCGGGTGGGTACCAGGCCTCTTCATTCTCAGCCGTCAGGCCCATGTTAGTGGCCACGGGTAACAAAGACTCCTTACTGATCCTGGGATACCTGCGCAGGACAGGAAAACAGACGAGGTGACAATGGAAAAGCAGTCAAAGCTGTGGACTAACAGCTTGCAGAAGTGTGCAAGAAATGGGTGAATCAATCTTTAAATATTAATACCTCAGTTACTGATGTTTTATTGTAAGGATTGATGTTCCCAAAAGCGAGTTAACAGTTTTTTGGATATTTCAATATATTTAATATTTAGGGGTAATTTTTACAATATACCACAGTGTTATTTTTTACGTTGCCATTAAGTGTTTTGCATCTGAAATATAACATTTTATATTAAAAAAAAGAAAAAAAAGCACTGAAACAAAAAGATTTATGACTTTTGTTCCATTAACACTCCACTAAAATACTTAACTTGATAACATACAAGTACAATATTTTCCAGAAGTCACACTGGCTAAAAATTGCAGATATGTCGAATCAGTGTATAGGTCACATTTTATTATAACGTTCAGAAATAATGTAAAATACTGGTTAAAATAAAACAACCCTGAAACATTTACACACATTATAATCATGCATTTTAGTTCCTGTCACTCCACAACAAATCCTTTAAATTTAATTTAGATATGAACAAGAATGAAAACATGCAAGTATAAAACAAACATATTAACCATTTTAAACAACATTTATTATAAATGTCAAGCCTAAATGAACTTATTTAAAGCACAACTGAAAGGACTGGCATGTAGGAAATGTGAAATATAAATAAAATTGCACTCATGTACCTCTCTCATTCTACGCATGTTTTGCATGCTTGACATTAATGGCTTTATATATATATATATAAGTCAGCATGTTTCAGATGATAAAAAACCTGACGTTTATTCCATAAAGTACGGTACGTTCATATTGCTCTCTGTCCTAGATAAGGATGATGAGAAGCGTGTGTGTACCTGCTCTGGTTGAAGGTGTGTATCTTGACGCGGTGATGTGTGTACTTCTGCAGGATCTTCTTGGTGTCTTCATCTGTGTTGAAGGAATTCATCAGCACCAGTGGCACGTCTGCATTATACGACTTATTCAAATGCTGAAAGAGAGAGAGATTCACACAAGGTCTTTCATTTGATACAGAAATATTCTGGTGAAATTCATGTCTTTTCTTAAATGACTGTAAACTGATATATCTTCAGTAACTTACTGTATGACTATTACACTAAAGCATATGATTGCATAAAAAATGCTTAATTAAACGAGTCTGGATGTTAAAATACATTCTTCTCAAAACTCATAAACAAAGAATGCAAAATGCTTGTTGGTGTTTGTGTGCAGATTGTGCAGTAAATAGTCACATCACTGCAGAGCCCTGCATTTGATCCCCATTTTAATGTAAAGGGTGTATCATAGATATTACATAAAATAGTATTTCTCAAGATATTCTTCTAAATGCCTTCGATTTTGTCATGTGGAAAAAACCTGATATTACACAACTTTGGGGTAAACAGTCATTGACACAGAGGGAAACCTTTACCAAGGTCTGAAACTGCAAACACGGTCTTACGTCATCTTACACGGATCATATATAAGCCAAAAAGAAATGTCTAAACCCATGTACTTGATGCATCATCCACTGTTCTGAAGATTATTTACTATAATGTTCAATTGTAATTACGTATGCTCAATTCCACATACATCAAAGGTTTGGGGTCAATAAGATTTTTAGAGGAATTACTTTCATTCAGCAAGGATGCATTAAATGCATCAAAAGTGACAGTAAAGACATTTATAATGTTACAAAAGATTTCTATTTCAAAGACATTTTTTTTGAGCAGCAGATGAGCATATTAGAATGATTCCTGAAGGACCACGTGACACTGAAGACAAATTTGAATTCAAATAGAAAACAGTTATTTGAAACTATAATAACTTCGTGAGTGTAAGAGACTTACACTCTAAAAAAAAAAATCTATAAAACATGACAATCTCATCAGAGGTTTTCGCTGGAAACGTGTGTGATGTAATACCTCGATCTGCTGTACGGTCAGGTCCAGGAAAGTGTTTTCGTTGCGGACGCTGATGAGACTTTTGGGTCCTTTGCAGCCCATGCTGGTCCCCAAACCTCCATTGAGCTTCACCACAGCCAGTTTATTAAGGCTGGACGCCACATCGGCAGGAAGACCCTTCAACTCGATCTTCTCATAGGGCTGAATCTGTTGAGTGAAATACACACGCATGATTTATATAGCAGTACACCATATAGGAAACACACAGACGCATTATTAATCACTCCCTCAGGATACAGAAACCTTGAGTGGAGTCAAGAAAATTAATTATCTGAAGTGTGCTTTTTTTCCACACTTTTCACTTGATTAGAAATGTACTGCAGGCCTACAGTCTGGTTTTATTAAAGGAAACCCTTTATGAAGATAACAGGACACCCAGTTTAATCAGAGCAAAAGTGTGAAAGACTGCGGTTTCATTTTTTAGTGCAGGGTTTATTTACTCCAGTCAAACAGAGCAGAGCTGATGGACCTTCAAACTCGAAATTTCTCCTATCTAGCAAAGGCATTAACCTTGAGATCATGACATGAAGAGCAGACAACTGTGAGAGCTACTGAAACAGAGCCTTGCAAACAGCATTCTTCTGTATGAATTATGAGCTGATTTGATCTGATCTCTTGGATTTGGGTGTACTGCTTTTAATAACAGCTTCCTGCCTGCAACTGATGCAGACCTTGCACACACACACTGACCTCATGAACTAAAATTGTGTAAAGCGGTCGTCCTAATTTCATCACAGAAGCAACTGTTGAATTATCTCACTGCTGTGAAGGCAAAAAGGTCAATGACTCAGAAACCTACAACTAAACTACATGTTGCTTTTTACATTTTATTTATTGAGAAAATGACACACACACAAATATCAGCTGACCGATCAAGCATCCAGCCAATGAGCGCTTCCACGGATGGGGACTGAAATAGAACCATTGAGAATTATGCTATAGGATTCAGAGCTGATCTAGACGCAGCCGTGATGTTTATTTCGTAATGGGTTTGATGACTCTCGATCTACTGGAGTTGATTTCAGATCATTTGTCCTGCTTTACTATGTGCTGTAACGTGAGTTTCTCAACGGCTGGTTGAAAAGAAATGTCAGCCAAGGTTGTGGGATGCTGGAAGTGCTGTGCTATTCATAGTCTAACCTTCAGTGTGGGGGTATTTGCAGAGGGGCCGTGGGTTATTTGGGGAGGGGATCAACAGGGAAATGTCATGGACTTGATAAACCGCTCATACACATGCACGTTCTCCGCTCACCCTTTCTCGCTATTCAGTGGCTTTGTGTATGTGGTGATAGGAAAGTTACTCCAGCCCTTCAAACAACTTATACTGATAAAATATGTTGTATTTTATAAGGTAATAATGGTTTGAAAAGGACATCTGTCTAGGACTGTGCAGTTGAATTGCTTTATATGTAATGTACACCTTAAATGTACTAATCTAAAACTATTATAAAATAAAATATGATATGATAATATATATGTATATACAGGTGCATCTCAATAAATTAGAATGTCGTGGAAAAGTTCATTTATTTCAGTAATTCAACTCAAATTGTGAAACTCGTGTATTAAATAAATTCAATGCACACAGACTGAAGTAGTTTAAGTCTTTGGTTCTTTTAATTGTGATGATTTTGGCTCACATTTAACAAAAACCCACCAATTCACTATCTCAACAAATTAGAATATGGTGACATGCCAATCAGCTAATCAACTCAAAACACGAAATAAATGAACTTTTCCACGACATTCTAATTTATTGAGATGCACCTGTATAATACGTGTGTGTGTAGGTTTAGGGTTAGGTTAGGGTTATATATGTATATATGTATCAGCAGGGGGGTGAAATCTTTTTGAATTTGAAGATCAGGGCAAATTTAACTAATTTTGTCTTCTGGGAAACATGTAACTATCTTCTGTAGCCTCTGAAGGGCAGTACTAAATTAACAAACATGATATTTAGGCAAAATAAGAAAAATGTACACATCTCCATTCTGTTCAAAAGTTTTCATCCCCCAGCTTAATGCATTGTTTTTCCTTCTGGAGCATCAGTGAGCATTTGAACCTTCTGCATAGTTGCATACGAGTCCCTCAGTTGTCCTCAGTGTGAAAAGATGGATCTCAAAATCATACAGTCATTGTTGGAAAGGCCTCAAATACACAAAAATGCTGGAAAACCAACTAATTTGTGGGACCTGAAGGATTTTTCTGAAGAACAGCAGGCAGTTTAACTGTTCAGGACAAACAAGGGACTCATGAACAACTATCGCTAAAGAAAAAACACAGCTGTGGATCATTATTTTATGTGAAATATCTTATTCAGGTCAGTACTAAATAAACAATAACATGCATTTTGAATGATCCCTCTTATTATGGTAAAATAATTAACATTTAGCAGATTATGAAAGGGGGATGTAAACTTTTGACCTCAACTGTATATCCAATTGATTTACAGATCAATTATTAAATATGTGACCCTGGACCACAAAACCAGTTAAAAGGGTCAATTTTTCGAAATTGAGATGTATGCATGACTTGAAAGCTGAATAAATAAGATTTCCATTGATGTATGGTTTGTTATGATATGACACTATTTGGCTGAGATACAACTATTTGAAAATCTGGAATCTGAGGGTGCAAAAACATCGAAATACTGAGAAAATCGCCTTTAAAGTTGTCCAAATGAAGTTCTTAGCAATGCATGTTACTAATCAAAAATTAAGTTTGAATATATTTACGGTAGGAAATGTACAAAATATCTTCATGGAACATGATCTTTACTTAATATCCTAATGATTTTTGGCATAAAAGAAAAATCGATAATTTTGACCCATACAGTGTATTTTTGGCTATTGTTACAAATATACCTGTGTGACTTATGACTGGTTTTGTGCTCCAGGGTCACATATATATTAAAGGGGGTAAAATTTGAAAATAATTTTTTTTTTCTGTTCAAATATAGTCCTAAAAATAAAAATATATTAAAAGTTCAAACTGTCTGTCTTAATGACTCTTTTCATGAATTTAAAATATTGCTAAAACATTACGCTGTAATAATATATGCAATATTGCTGAAAAATATATATTTTTATAGCTATATTTTAATTTCAAATTCTTTATAAATCATCCTTAGAAGCCACACAAGGCATCAAGCACTCTTTGGTCTCACCGAGTCTTCGGGTGGTCTCTGGATCTTGGCCCAGTCAACAGACGGCCCCTTCTCCTGAAGGAAACGGTGAAAGAGCTTCTTGAAGCCCTCAAAGTCTTTCCTGGAGATCTGCAAGAGGCACAGATAAGCATATTACAGATAAAATTTTCACAATTTCCATCCATTGTTACCTTCAGCTCTACAGTATATCCTGAAGTTCAATATAATGTTTATTATTTCAGGGCCGATAGTGAAGAAGAGTCTTTCTATTTCAAATCAACAAATCAAAATGAGTCACACGTGAAAGGTAAACATTTGTGAGGGTTTTGGGAAGCTTCTAACTAACTTGTATTAAACCTGGAATACTTTATTTTTAGTTAAAGGTTTATTAAATGAAGTAAATGCTTTAGAGCTGAATCTGAATCAACACATGTCAGTGTGATTAATCGAACCCCTAATTACCCTGCATAACGCTGTGCCGCATACAAGCATAATTAATACTCTGAAGAGTCTCCTTTAACCTTTAGACTAAACCTTCTGGCGATGCATCATGGGAAGATAGGATGTAATTAACACACACCTCCTTCGTTAGCTCACCGTTTCATTGGCCGCTGCATAAAAACTAATTAATGAGACTAACTGCATAATGTGTGTGCCGTAACTGCTCAAATTAAGAGTCGTTTCATTGTGAATAAACATCTCAAACTTGGCTGAATGATACAGTTTTCCAATCTGTGCATAAGACTCCGCTCATTTTCAAATTAGTTTTTCCATTATATAAGCAAATGTTATTGGGTCAATGACAAATAACAATGTCTTCTGATCATTTTTTTAAAAATCCAGTTTAAAATGCATGCACCAAAATATAAACATTTTTATGCATGTTAGTTACATGCATTTTTGAAAAAGATTCATACTAATTCTAAAATGGATTTAATTTGTTTGATCTAATGGCTTTAAAATGGTCAAGTGGTACATACGTGAGCAGGGGGTTAGACATATACATGGAGTCAAGGACAGAAGCACCACTGGAACGTGTTTGTCACCTCAGCCGAGCACATAGTTTGCAGGGCAAGGGTCTTACCTCTGCCTCTGATGGCTTGGCAGTGATCAGGAGCTTCTCCAGCTCTGTGAGCATGGAGTTCTCATGCTGCAATCTCAGCTTCTCCTGAAACTCCGCCATCCCTGCATTAGGACTGTTTCTATACAGATCTACACACATGCAAACACAGGGAAAGAAAACATTACTGGCAACAACCTTAAATGTTGTGACGACACTGCAAATGGTCATTTTTTTAATTCTTGAGACTATTCTGTTCCACCATGCTTTTTGGTAACTGGCACATAATTTAAATAATTCAGTTAGAATAGTTAGAATGTCTTTTAAATGTTAAAATGTCTTTTAATCTCTTATGTTCACCAAGGCTGTATTTATTTGACAAAAAATACAATAAAAACAGTAATATTGTGAACTATTATTACTATTACTGTACTATAATAATTGAGCACCAATATTAGTTGATAATTAAGCAGCAAATCAGCATATTAGAATGATTTCTAAAGGATCATGTGACATAACTCAGCTTTGCACCACGCGAATAAATTACATTTTTGCAGATTCTGAAAGGGGGATGTAAACTTTTGACCTCAACTGTATATCCAATTGATTTACAGATCAGTTATTAAATATATATTAAAGGGGGTAAAATTGGGATTGATGATCATTTTGTTTTGATTTTTTTTTTGTTCTCTCCTTGTGAATGCTACTGAATCAAATGCAGAAATGCAGAATGGATTCTTCTACGATGAATCAATCTGATTTGATTTTTTACTGTTTCTTCTACAAACAGTAAAAAAAACGCTGCAAGTTTTTTGTCTGCCGCTTTAAATGCTCAAGGATGCATTGATTGGTTGTCAATGTTTTAATCGTTAATTAGCTAGATTTTTTTTTAAATATCGTCCCTCTGCGTTTAGTTAAGCTGTGTCGCATTTAGAACGAATTGTACAATTTTATCGTTATTATCTATTAAATATATGTGCATTGTATTGTAGGCGTTTTGCCGTTGTTTTAGAAAGACAGCATGCCACTTGGCCCCAAGCGTTAGCCATTTTAGTAATAAAGGTTGTTTTAGCCGCTTTGCAATTCTTCTAGCTCTTTTGAACGCTTGTTTAAATGTCAAGTAGGACTGGACATTTGACTGATACAGCCCACAGCTATTGCATGAGGGCGGAGTTAGCTTTTTCTGCCGAAACATTGACCTGATGTTAACTAGCTGCTTCTGTCAGACCAAAGTCACAGACATCCAGGATTATGTCATGAACTTTGCCATACAAGAAGAACTCAAGGTCACCGACCCCTTGCAAGCAAACACAAGCGCACTGCCCACAGCTCGGGGTTTTGAGGGGTTGGGGAACTATACTCAAGCACATCTAGACAGCAGACAGGCTTGCTTGCTCATTTTTGACAAGCCATGCGAGGATACTACTCACGTCCACTGCAGCACACGCCGTTTCACAGGCGGAAGTGTCGCGTGAAATCGATGTGTGGGTATGATGTTTGTTCACGGACCAATCAGAGCAGGGGGCGGTCTGGCTCGACCAATCAAATTCCAGCCAATTGCGTTCTGTTTATGGCGTTCGACTGCGTAAACATGTGAAACAGCGTCATCTCTTGGCTGTGGTTGTAAACTAATATATACTTTTATTTATTTTTTTTTACTTGTGTTTTACCTTTTTCTTGTATGTTTTATCCAACGGAGAGTGCTTTATTTAGTGTATGACAATTATGCAGGATTATATGGAAGTCCCTCTTCCACCAAATAAAAAAAATCATGCTTTAATAAATCGTATTTAGCTAAAGTCATGAGAAAACAAATCGATATTCTGACATACTAAGTTAATTTGATGAAAAGTCGAAATGCACAGTCGAAAGTGACAAAAGTACTTCTTATAATTTCGTACTTTATTTCTAACCTCTTGTCAATAATCATGACTTGTCATAATTTAGATTTTACATCTCATAGGCTTGTATCGTCATAATTTAGACTTTTCATATCGTAAATGTGACTTACCATGTCATAAGTTCAACTTTAGTCATAATTATGATTTATCAAAGCATTATTTTTTCTTAAGTGGCAGAAATGGGCTTCCATATGTTTACTATCCCCTTTGACCAATGAATTACCATGATTTCTGTCTTTATTATATAAGGATCACTAAAATAATTAATCAATATAATTTATATTCACTGTTATAATTTTCTAGGACACTTCTAGGCTTTTAAAAACTTTATCAAATTAATTCCGATATATAAAGGTTTTCATTCAAATAAAAAGGCCTGGCTTGCTGTCTACAATGAAGAATCTTAATATCCTTAATCAAATAAATTCACACCTATATTAAATGTGTGTATTCAGAGCTAGAGATGAGAGGGGCATGACAACAATCCAAATACACAACAAACATTCATTTTCCACATGGCCTTTTATTGTTGTATGACAGATGATCGTTATTTTGGTCTGGACATCTATGTGCCTAACGGTTTTAATTGGAAATGTTCTTCTTCAGGTGTTGCCCCAGACACTTCAAGCAGAGGAAGTTACATTGCAAACGTTTCTTGTGAATAACACACACACACGTATACGTTAAGAGACATGAATATCCACGCACGCACACGGTCAGCTGTGAAACCTACAGGACTTTACAGTCGGGGATTTGGGGACTTTGAAGAGTCTAATGGCTGCCGCGCTGTTGTGGAGACATCAAGTCACGCTCCAAGGAAGGTGAGTGCCGTGTCTCTCTCCTCCACCAGCTCAGCGGCGGTGCCATCCATCTTACCGCGGGAGAAATCATTGATGGAGAGTCCGTCAACCACCTTCCAGGTCTTGTTCTGTCGGGGTGGAAAATATTAGTACTTACATAGAGACCTTATATTTCTAAACTACTTCCAAATGCTTTGATTTCTTTTTTGAAATTTAATCTCAGTTTTTTTTTTTAGGTGTGACGAAGACAAACCTTGATCATAACAGGGAAGGAGTACATGAGGTCATCAGGAACTCCATAGGAATTACCAGTGGAGTAGATGCCCATAGACACCCACTCACCCTGTTAGAGACAGAAAAATAATTAGTTAGCATTAACCCTGTAAAGTACGGAAGAGGATTAGGGCCAAGCAATAAAAAAATAAAAATAAAACCATCTCGAGTTTAAAGTCGTTAAATTTCAAGAAAAAAAAATGTCGAAATAAAATGTTGAGAATAAACTCATTAAATTACGAGAAAAAAGTCAAGATAAAATGTTGAGAATAAACTCATTAAATAATGAGAAAAAAAGTCGTTAAATCTCGAGAAAAAACACGTTAAATTTCGAGAAAAAGTAAAAAATGTTGAGAATAAACTCGTTCAATTTTGAGAATAATCTCAACATTTTATCTCGACTTTGCTCTTGAAATTTAACGAGTTTTTTCTCTAAACTTAACGACTTTAATCTCGAGATGGTTTTATTTTTTTATTGCTTGGCCCTAATCCTCTTCCTTAGTAAAGCCTGACATATGAAATCAATCAAATTTGTTAATTTTTACAATACTAAAAGGGCATTTTTACTATAAAAAAAAAAAAAAAGTATAAACTATCAATTAGATGTAGATTGTGTACAGAAGATTTTTGATCATGCTGATTTTGAGGCTTTAGAAATGTGTGAAATTTGATAAAGTAGCCTTGACAAGGAAATGATTAGGAAAACTGGAAATGTTTGAATCTTCCACTCTACTTGTAACCAGAATCTAATAGCCTAGACACTCAATTGATCTCCAAAGGGTTCACATGGTGTAAACTCACATCTGGAGTGCCGAACCAGATGTCCCTCATGTGGTCACAGATGGCTTTGGCAGCAGACATTGCACTGGAGAGCTTCCTGGCCTTGATGACAGCTGCACCTCTCTGCTGCACCGTCTGGTGTACAGAGAAATTAAAAGAATTGCAGATGGTTAAATTAAAGTAATAAGCTACAAAAAGTCATGTGTAAAGCTATGGTCATATTAGCGCAATTTCAGCTACATTTTGTGGGTAAAAAAGGTCCATCGTCTACTGTCAGTCACATAGAGATGTATAAAGCACAGCTCACACAGAAATTACTTTTACAGCAAGAAGTTTTCTATTGGTAAATGTGGCAAATCCGATTTAGCGGGAAATCTTTCGCCCTCATGCAAAATTCCAGATTGTGTGGATTTATTTGGAAATGTATTACTATTAAACTAAGAGTTGAATTCATTATTAATAATAAGTTGTTGTAGATAAGTTGTTTATGGCTGCCAAGAAACTTGATGTATTAATATTAGATGCATTTATCAGCAGCTTCAAAGATGCATCAGAATTTAAATTAGGAACTATCCATTTTATTCATTTATTTTTTTAAACATTTTTATTGTAATAAAGACATGGAAGGTAACATGAAAATATTCATAAAACATACATTTTTATATCTTACTATCCATTTTATAATAATGTGACAGGTCATTTCTTTGTTCTTTCCTTTGAGAACATTAAATCACACAATTATTTTAATCTCATTAAAAAATGGGATTAAATGAGCAAACGCAGAATTAGGCTTCATCTGACTTTCTCTTGCAAAAACGGCCTGATTATCTCATTTTAATAACTCCACAGGTTCAGATGTCAGACTTACGGTGATGAAGTCGCCCTTCAGCCAGCTTTCGTCATTCACTGCATCAAAACCTGACATCTCCTTCCCATGATTGTTCACAATAGCGTGGTGCACATCTGGGTACTGAGTTGAGGAGTGATTTCCCCAGATAATCACATTCTTCACGCTGTCAGAGGGCACGCCAACACGTATCGCCACCTACAGGCATGGACGAACACCGCAGGTGAGCAAAGGGCTCATATGTGCAATATATGCCAACATTGTCAACTGCAGAGACAGCTAACAGTCCCTCTAAAATTAGGTCACTGTATTGGTCTATGAACTACTCCAGAGTACATAACTAGATACGGCTGCTCTAGAACTAAGCTAGATGTGGATGATGGACAATAACAAAAGCTTGGTTACCTGCAGCACTGGAAAGCACAAAGACTGAGTTAGAGAACTTCAATAAAGCAGAATAAGAAGTGAAGGTGAATGAGGTGGTGGGGTTCGGACCTGAGAGCGGGCCCTGTTATGGTCCAGACGGGTCAGGCAGGAGAAGTTCTCCTTAGGAATGGAGGGAGCAGATTTGGAGGCGATCAAACAGTTGGTGTTGGCTGGGTTTCCGACAACTAGCACCTATGAAAGCAAAGGAAAAGTGAACGGCAGAACAACAAACACCAAAAACTGACCAGTGACTGATTCGGCCTGTTTTGAACTATCGCAGTGTTGTCTAAATCAAAAGCCGGAGGTTAGAAAACTCATGAAAATCAGAATGATTCAAGCTGCATTATTTGTTGCAATCTTGTACCTTGACGGTCTTCTTGGCGTATTTCTCCAGTGCTTCACCTTGGGTTTTAAAAATGGCCACGTTAGCCTTCAGTAGGTCCTTCCTCTCCATGCCCTCTTTTCTGGGCATAGAGCCCACCAAGATGGCAGCATCAAGATCCTTGAAGCCCACCTCAACCTTATCAGTGGGAATCACCTCTGTGAAGGAGTAAGAGAGAAATGAGTAAGACACAGAAGGGTACAGAAAACTTATTTCCCAGGAATTTTTAGGCCAACAAATCTCCATGGCAAAGATAAAGATCATGAACTTATTCAAAAATGTCCAGCTATTTTTGCTAATTATTTTTTTGAAAAAGGAAATGTAATAAAAATGTAAATATTTTATTATATATTATAATGAATCTTTTTAATACAAAACATTTAGCTAAATATATTTTATTTTTAGCTAAATATTTTTACGAGTATTAAATGAAATATCTTGTAGAATTAAAAGAAATCCTTATTGCTTATTGAAACAAGTTGTACTTTAAACTGCAACTTTTTGTAGTGTTTTTCTAGGAAGCCTCAAGTAAACTCACGTAAACTGCACATGCAAACTTTTAGCATCAGTATTGTGAAATACAGCCTCATTATGTCTGTACCTAGACCATTATTTCTCAGGAGTATATGCTGACATTATCTCTTGACACTTTCATCTCCCATCACCATAAATCATTTATCAGGCTGTCGATATTTCCTGAATTGGCCCAGTTCATTGATAATCTTTAGAATGAGATTGAGTACAGGACTATTTATCAGAGTGGACTTCAACCGAAGCACAACTTCTGTGACAGAACATGTTCTTTGGCCTCCTCCCCTCCGCCTCCCATTGTTGTGGAACCATCACGTTTCTCATTGGTCTGTGACTATCTTACAACGTGAGCCAATAAGATCAGTCGGTGCCGGTTACACCTCCCAACTCCTCAAATACAGTGTAGCACATGCTATTTTCTGCTGCAGATCTCTTCTGCAGAGTCATGCTTGCTCTTCTGCATTTTAATACATTCCAGATGTTGGCTATAAATAACACACGCTGTAGTACAAAGAGACAGTGGCTGGGAAGCTGT